GTGTTTTTCTTTTTTTTTTTTTTCTTTTTACAAATTTTTTGTTGGTTTTAGAGGCCAGTGCTTGGTAAAATTATGGTGGTTGTTCACCGAGGACAAAATCATGGTTGTTTGTGTTTTTTTTTTAAAAATTTTTTTTTTTTCTATTTTTTTTCACCAAGAGTTGTTTTTTTTTTTTTTTGGAAATTACAGGACTCCCGTTGGGGGTTTTTTGTTTTTTGTACAAAAAAACCCCCCCCCCCCCCCCCCAAAGTACGTTTTCCTGACTTGTTTCTACATTTGACAAAATGTTTGAAGTTATTAACGGCAAGCTCTGAGTCATAAGTTGCATGCGTTTCAACGAGTGCAAAGATATCGTGCTTGTTGATAATGTTTAAAAACTCTTTTGTTTTTAGCATATTTCCTAATGTTCTGCTGTTGTACCCATAAAGGTTCCAAAATCCTGATTGTAAAGGCCGTACCATGAAAGGAAGAATACAGAAGGAAAATCATGACTAAATAGTTACTTATCTGGTTAACCTCAGTTCACTTTCTCTTAAATATTCTGCAAGGAGGTTAAGTGCTTGTAGTGGTTGACTGATCCTATTACTCGGGGTTACAAGGGGTTACAAGGGACTACAGGGGGTTACAAGGGATTACAGGGGATTACAGGGGGTTACAAGGGATTACAGGGGGTTTCAAGAGGTTACAGGGGGTTACAAGGGATTACATGGGATTACAAGGGGTTACAGAGGATTACAGGGGGTTACAGGTGGTTACAGGCGGTTACAAGGGGTTACAAGGGGTTACAGGGAGTTACAAGGGGTTACAGGGGGTTACAAGGGGTTACAGGGAGTTACAAGGGGTTACAGGGGGTTGCAGGTGGTTGCTAGCTGTAAATAAATACTGCAGCAACAAGGCATGTAGGGCTGAAACAGGAAAATTCCCAATAAAAATCGAAGTACAATATAGGAATTTTAAGATTTGGCTAACTCTAACCAAACACCCAAAACACAAATTATCACAGGTGGTTTATAATGATATGAAGTCGAGGATGAATAAGGAATTATGGAGCCAAAAAATCAAACGCGTATTAGACCAAATAGGGCTGGGATACCTCTGGACAAAAGCACATGAAAATGACATAGAAATCTTGAACATTATCAAACAAAGACTGAAAGACATCGAATTACAAAGGTGGTTAAGTGACGTAAACAGTGACGTAAGAAAAGACGCCAACCAAAAGAGCAAACTAAGAACCTACCGAAAATTTAAAGCAATAGAAAATTATGAATGTGAAGATTATCTCCGTCAGGTCACCAACATCCGACACTGGATAACTCTAACTAAACTCCGTCTAAGCAATCACAAATTGGCGATAGAGACAGGTCGGTATGTAAGAAACCGGAAGAGGGGATCTGTCCTACCTGTAAAAAAGACGTAGAAGATGAAATACACTTTTTAACTCTGTGCCCTGCGTATCAAGAAAAAATAAGTACTTTATTTGAATACTTAAACAAAGAATACAGAATATCGGTAAACAGAATGGCACCAGATGATGTTTTTCTGTTGTTAATAACCCTCCGGGCAAGAACAAACCAGTGCAAAAGCTAACTGCAAAATACGTATTCTACTGCTATGAGAAAAGAAGATCATTCGTTGTTTAGGTTAACATTGATTATAGTTCCACTAGTGTGAAATTTGTCTTTTGATTTTAAATTATTTGGATAAAGTCGATGTACATAGGACTGTATGAGACTCCAAATAAAGCATTGTCTTGTCTTGCCTTGTCTTGCCAGGGATTACAAGGGGTTACAGGGGATTACAGGAGGTTACAAGGGATTACAGGGGATTACCAAGGGTTACAGGAGGTTACAAGGGATTATAGGGGGTTACAAGGGCTAACAGGTGGTTACAATGGGTTACAGGGGGTTAGAAGGGATTACAGGGGATTACAAAGGGTTACAGGAGGTTACCAGGGATTACAGGGGGTTACAAGGGCTTCCAGGTGGTTACAAGGGGTTACAGCGGGTTACAAGGGTTTACAGGGGTTACAGAAAACCTTTTTTTTTAACTAGATCGTAACCAGATACTTTTTCTTGGCTTAATAGTCTTAAAAGGCTTCTTTTCTATCTAGAACGTCAGCAAACACATTTCCTCGATCTATTTTTGACAAACACAAAAGATAAAAAAACTTCAACTTTTTGACCAAAATCATGGACTACCCTTTTGCAAAAATGAAAATTTTCCGGTTTTTTTAAACCGCTGTATTTGCAGTCCAGAAAGGCTTCTTTTCCATGTAAAACGTCAAAACTCATTTTTTCACGATTTATTTTCACGATCTATTACATGGGAATACAAGGGGTTACAAAAGGTTACAGGGGGTTACAAGGGATTACATGGGTTTACAGGGGATTACAGGGGGTTACATGGGGTTACAGGGGGTTACAAGGGGTTACATGGGGTTACAAGGGATTACAAGGGGTTACAAGGGGTATCCTATCCTATCCTACAGGGGGTGACAAGGGTTTACAGGGGGTTTCAAGGGATTACAGGGGGTTACAGGGGATTATAGAGAATTACAAGGCGTTACTTGGGGTTACAAGGGATTACAAGGGATTACAGGGGGTTACAAGGGGTTACAAGGGATAACAAGGGATTACAAAGGGTTACAGGAGGTTACAAGGGGTTACAATGGATTACAGGGGGTTACAGGGTATTTCAAGGGGTTACAGGGGATTACAGAGGGTTACAGGGGGTTACAAGGGATTACACTGGATTACAAAGGGTTAGAGGAGGCTGCAAGGGATTACAAGAAATTAAAGGGGGTTACAGGGGATTACAAGGTGTTACAAAGACTTACAGGGGGTTACAGAAAACCTTGTGTCTAACTTGATCGTAACCAGATACTTTTTCTTGGTCTATTTCGCATAAAATAAAAGTTGAATAAATCTCACATTTTTGACGAAAACAATGGACTTTGGAAGGAAGCGAAATTTGCGTTTTTCATTAACAGATGTTCTAATAGTCTTGAAAGGCTTCTTTTCTATCCAGAACGTCAGAAAACACTTTTTCTCGATGTATTTTTGATAAACACAACAGACGAAAAAACTTCAACTTTTTGACCAAAATTATTAACTAACCCCTTTCCAAAAATGCCAATTTTGCGGTTTTCTTAAATCCATGTTTCTATTGTCTAGAAAGGCTTGTTTTTTAACGAAAACGTCACCAAATTTTCGTGGTGTATTTTGCATATAAAACGTCAAAAGTCGAAATTTTCACGATATATTTTCACAATCTGTGACATGGGGATACTTGGGGGTTACACGGGGGTTACAGGGGTTTTTTAAGGTCTTACTGGGGGTTACAGAAAATCTTTTTTCTAAGTAGATCATCCTCAGATACTTTGTCTTGGTCTATTTTGCATAAAAATAAAAGTTGAATAAATTTCAAATTTTTGACAAAAACTATGGAGTTACCCCTTTGGAAAAAAGTGAAATTTGCGTTCTTCGTGAACAGATGTTCTAAAAGTCTTGAAAGGCTTCTTTCCTGTGCAGAACGTTGGCAAACACTTTTTCTCGATCGGTTTTTAATGAACACAAAAGATGAAAAAACTTCATTTTTTTACCAAAATCATGGACTAACCCCTTTAGGAAAATGTTAATTTTGCGGTTTTCTTAAATCCATGCATTTGTACGGACAGTTCATTTGGTCCCAAAATATCCTCTGTACTTTTATAATACGGGCACCTCGATTTTCTAGAACCTTTGTTGTAAATGGTAAACGACCCGTTTTTCGCGAGGGTTTGGGACTCGAGATACATAGTATTTCTAGTATGATATACTGGTACTTCTATGATGCGGACACCTTTGCAATGCGTAGGGTTGGCTCTTTCCTTTTGGCGACGGTATATATAAGAAAGTTTGACTACAATGTATGTCATAAACATGTGTTTAAACATGCTATGAAAACATACATGGCTGAATTTAACTCGGATTCTTTCAATCAAAGTGGATAGAACCACGGATTTGTGTAAATTGTTTGAAGCCGCTAAATTCAATAGAATCCAGGTTCGTATCCATAAGCTCTATTGACTTGTTTTCTTGCTGGGTCTCGTGTGTAATTTGTTCAACTTTTCAAGGAAGCAGAGTCTCTCAGGTTTATAAGAAGAGAAACCCCTGTGTCCTTGAATAATAGATATCTGAAAATTAGTCAATCATGAATTTGATTTTCGATATCATCTCTTGGCATTCTCTTCCGGATGCTCGTTCTTTTTTGAGCTGAGTGATGGAGCGCTTTCTATTCTGCCCAAAATTCCGCAAATTTTGGTTAGAAATCAAATGGAACAAGCCATTTCGGTTCGGTCCGACCGGAATATTTGGGACCACCTTTGAAGGTCGGTGGGACCAAAAGTCCCTTTCCATTTGACAAAATTGTTGTTCCTAGTACCTCTCTTTTGCATCCTGCTTACAAGAACAATAACCAAACGGGCGGTGGCTTGGGTCGGGTCTGTGCAACCGGAATGTAGCATTTCATTGGGCACGTGGAATGTCCGAAATTTTGAAGTGGAATTTTCGTTGAATTGAAGTCCGCCTGCCTTTCAGAACCGCCTAGTCAAACCCAGTATCAAGTAATTTCGTTCGCTCAGTAACCACCGTCTTCAAACTCCTGGTGTTTCAGTTGATTACAGCTTATCGCGTTTGAAGTTAAGTGAACAATAATTCAATACCAGAAAAGAAAAGTAAAATTCAACAATAACGCCACCTTTCTCGGTCTTTGCCATAACGCATAGAACACCTAGCCTCTCTGTTTTTATGGTTATCTCGAGAAAATGTTCAGCACAACTACAAATCAAACACTGAAATAAAACCTGACTGGTTCTCCCTTTTCTCTAGTCCCAGTTACCCGGCGTGAGCGTCACTCTTCCCATGGTTATCTTCGGAGTTTTGACTGTTGCTGCTGGCCTTATGACACTGTGGCTTCCGGAAACGCTTCTTGCACCCATGCATCAGACGATCTAAGAAATGGAACTGGAAAAGGAGTATTATGGGCTGATATGGATGGAAAAACCATATCCCTCTTCCATACCATGTTTTAAGAGGTAATTTGAAACATAAACTACACAGAAGACAAAGAGATTGGGAGGGGATCCTGTTTGAAGGTGAAGGCGGGGAGATAATAAGAAAGATATCTGTTTATCTTAACATGTTACATCAAGGAGAAAGGTGACTGGCAGAATTGCAATGATTTCTTTTTTCTATTTGTTTACTCTAGCAACTCTTCAGACTGGGATGGAATTCCAATGGAGGACAAGACGTCAACAAAAAGTGGAGATAACGAATCTGATAACGGGTCTATAATACTCAAGCCATCGTCTGAAATATTTCCAAATGAGACTTAAAGAAAGACGCAAAAACTTTGGCATCTATGGATGTTTGTTTGCGGGGCCCTTTTCTGCGTTCTAAGTGAAAGAGAGTATAAATATATCTTTGACTAGGGTTGATAGGGTTTTACGAGAGAGGACAGTCGACAGAGAGTTGTAAAGACTATTATTATATGGCTGAATTCATGAGCGGGCAAGATAAAGTGAATCCTGTATTCTTATTGGCTACCCAAGTGGGCAAGATGGGCCCATCTTTCCCGCTTGGGATTTTCCGCTTTGTTTCTGCAAGTAAAAGTTCTCTTTTTGGCCATAAAATAATTCCTTTATTGACCAAGCTTGTTCGGTCAAGATGGCAGAATATTGGTCTCGTTTTTATTTGCGTTTTTATTGACCTCGAATTCGTCTCGGTGGATAAAAAAGCAAACAATATCGAGCCATCTTAACCTCACGCTGGGTCAATAGCCAGCCATCTTAACCTTACGCTTGGTCAATATCCAGCCATCTTGACCTCAGGCATGGTCAATATCCAGCCATCTTAACCTCACGCTTGGTCAATATCTGCCATCTTGACCTTACGTTTGGTCAATATTCAGCCGTCATAACCTTACGCTTGGTCAATAACACATACAGGCCTCTATGGAATTCTTCGATTGCAACATAAGTTGAACAGTTTTTATTTCATTTAAAAGACCAAATGTTCAGGTTAGCTAAGAATCAAAACGCGAACTTGGGACCTTCTTTATGCTCAGAAAAGTACATAAACGCTGGTAAGCCGAAATCATCTTTATTATTGACGTCATAGAATGTACAATAGAAAATAAAAATTGATCCCTAGCTCTTCGAATGATCACAACAGCTACTTAATGTTTATATATTTTTTAATTCTAGTAGCAGTTTTTTTGCTACAATGCAAAGTATTAATGCTTTGATGTAACATTTCTTTATAATAGCCTTATGTTTTTACTTTATTTTTGCATTCCTATTGCTGTCTATCTCTCGATTGTATTTCTCCTGTATCGTAATAAAATCTGAACTAGAATACCCAAATCAGTACCGAATAAGGCAAAAATAAACCCCGTTACATCTATACACAGAACTAATGTCAACGAAAAGAGCTGCCTGTCCGGAGAGCTCTATACTCTACTTAAGTCCTCTCCATACCAGTCTAATTAACCCCAATCAAATTCAGTCCACTTCAGTCCGCTCCAGTCCAGTCCACAGTGCCTGCTTTCAGCATCAGCCTGCTCACGCCTCAAGGTCCATTTTCTCATTACTGATGGTGACATGAAAGCTATTGACTACAGGTAACAGTGTTTGAAACTCTTATTAGTGGTTATTAGGGTGTGGGTAGTACAGTTCACAGCCTCCGGTCCACGAGGGATACTTTGAGATCTCCATGAAACCGTATAGAACTTAGCGCTCTCGTAAGTTTCTACCTTGTAGAATCGCATGAGGGTTTACTTAAGGGCAAACCTGACTCTGTTATGGTTACTTTATCAGAAATTTCTATCAGCGTAATAGTTAAGTAATAGTATCTTTGCTAACCTTTATTTGTCTTAGTACCTATTTGTTTCTTTCCTCAGGGTGGTAGTGAGCTTGGTGTACTTTGGTTTTCTGTTGTACATCTCTTATCTAGTTGGAAGCCCGTATTTGAATCTCTTTCTGATGTACCTTACAGACATACCTGTCCAAGTCTTCCTTTCGTGGTATGTATTCTCTCCCTTAACATTAAAAAAAAACCAGACATCCTTCTTTCTAATGTACCTTAGAGCTATAAAAAGTGTTGGAACACTTTATACCCGGTAATGTGGGAAAACTTGCCAGGGCATTTTGGTCCAGAAGCACACCCTAAGAATTTCTAGTAGGGTGCTATATGTTTTTTCTGTTTGTTTTACGTTGGTAAGTACCAGTCTCCTCGTTTCTAAAGCAGCCAATGTGGCTTTGTTTTACCTGTCTAACCTCGCTCCCAAGTTTTTGACTGCAAGGTCGAGGGTGGTAAAACAAATCTTTTTCAGTCAATCTGGACAATATGGCCGCCGTGTGAATAATGCCTATAGTATTGCATTTATTCTCTGATTTTTTTCTCACTTAGTTGTTACTGCGATGTTTTTTTCTAATTACAGATATCAACCTGACCTTTTGCTGTGCTTGGTGCTTGGTAGCTTACCCTAACAGCTGATTCCTTTTTGATAATTGACAGGTAAGAAGTATCTAAATTCTATGAATAATCTCCAAAGACATTTTAGTTCTGCAACACCAAGTGTTGGGCCATGAGAGGGGTCAGATTTTCCTACTCAAATTTACGAGTCTTTCCTTTTAGTTTTCTTTTCCCGTTTTCATTTTTTTATTTATTTTTATCGGTGTCAGTTAGCATTTCTTTCTCTTTTTTTCCGAATACAGTCATCTCTTCTAGCTTCTCACTGTAAGAACGTTTTGTAGGAGACAAGTCTGTGTTTTAGGGCCAGGTAAGAATGTAGAATGCGGTCAGGAGCTCTGATTGGTTGACCAAGTAGTTATGCTCTTTTAGTTATTGTTTAGTAATAACAGGCAAAATACTAAATGTCACAAAGATCAAATGTAAACGCGAGAAATCTACCAAAATTTCTTATGGGCAACGGCCAATCACGGCGCGCGTAGCATTCAGTACAGTTCTCGTAATGAGCACACGGCGAATAGCTCAGCTACTGTGAAAAGAAAGCAGCAGACTCGGCCTTCGCATTAATATTAGAGCCACGATAATTACGTCAACTAATTACTATGAAAATTTATAAAAATTGATTTCTGAAACTAAAATAATAGATTTTCTGCTGCATGCGAGGGGTAAATATATATGTATTGCATTTCCTCAGCTTCTAGCGCGAGCGTTTCTGTCATCCGGGACTGCACTGTATAGAATTTGAAGGCACGAAAGCGAGTCTCGAAGCTCTCCTTATCACCACTATTATGCTAAGCAGCATCATTTAACGATATCGAAATGTTACTTTTCTTACTGCTTGCAGGACATACCATCGTTTTTATCATCACCATGGAGACGGACGAGATACCTTGTGAGGCATGTAGCAGAGGCTGAGAGCTTGATGACGTCATTATGGTCAATACCAGTAATGCAGCAGACCCAGAATACAAAATCAAAGAATCTTATCCAGTGCCGGATCAAGACCTTGAGATAAGAGTGGTGGGGGGCGGTCATCCAGACCCTGAGATAAGGGGGGGCAGTCTCCAAAAAAATTTTTTCAGCCCTTCGGGCCTCAGTTTGGTCTAAAAATAGGGGGGCGGGCCCCTCCCCTAGATTCGCCACTATTAACGGTGGGAGACTAGCTTTCGTCGCAGATGTAATCTAACCCCGGTTGGTAACGTCTGCGAAGCAGCGCCGAGATCCTTGTTGTGAGTCCCCAACGGACTGGATTAATTACCGGAAATGCGTTTCGATGTTCCCTTCAACTTGATTTTTAGCAGGCCAATCATGACGCCTACTTACATCCTGGTACACAGGTCTGGGCCTAGAACAAGGATTTCAGCGCTGATTCACAGACGGGCTTAACCAGAAATTTATTTTCTTCTCTGGCGCAGGCTAAGGGAGACAAGAACAAGTCATAACATAACTGGGAATCTGTCCACGTACCCCTCCCTCAAATTAACATTTTGCCCTAAGTAAAAAAACCAGTTTATGTAACCGTCGGGTTGGGGCAGGGGTAGGCGGGAAGTTCCCAGAATCTTAAACTGTTTTACAGAACATAGTCAAAGACTGCGATTTAATCGTTAGGTCTTGACTGACTGGAAAACCTGTGAAGGATAAAAACTTTTATCAACAAAAGTCTATCTTTTTAGGGTTTTAAAGTCTTTTCCTCACGATGTTCGAAGACTGGGAAGATATGTCATTAAAGAACAATAATATTAGTGAAGACAAACTCAGACAAACAGATAACAGAGGGTTTAGTTACTGACCGTTTCCTTGAGCCTTCATGGTGCATCCGATACTAGTGAAACTTTTGAGCAAAGAGCTTTTTGGGATATGCGTGACATCATTTTGTCTAACGTGAACTTTATTCTAAATTCTGATGGCGTCCGTCAATTCCTAAAGGACGCGTCAACTGAAACAGAACAAACAGAAGGAATATTCAGGATATTTTACAGATTAGGGTTAGGGATTTTTGTTTGTCTTTTTTCATTTCACCTATTGCCAGATTTTCATGGGCAGTATTCAGGATTGATCTTGGGTCTGCTGTTGGACTATCAAAAAAATCGACGCCCGTCACTCAATTTTACGAGGCTCTCGTTATAATCCGATAGACTTGGATGATTATATAATAATTATTAACCGAAGTGGAGGTAGCTAGTGGTTGAGCGAGCCGCGTGGTATTTCTAGGTCTAGTTTTCAAGGAGAAGAGAATACTTCGATAGTAGCTAATTTTGTCAGTACTATGTTGCTGCCATTATTTCTGTGATATTCGTTTTACCTATCAAAAAGAGTACCCAAGTATAAAGCCTATTATTATTCATTCAAAATTTTTCCCCAATTCTGATTGGTTAAAAGCACACGCATAATTCACCATAAGTAGTTGCTGATGACCAAATTTGGAAGAATTTTGTGTTTAACGAGGATATGACGTCAAAAATGCAGCCTTCTTCAGGTATTTTCTACAGGTTAATGCACCGTTAACCGAGAAGACCTGGGGTCGAGGCTGAGTTGTTTTCGTTGTGAAAACTAAGATGGCGGACACCTCACTCGTCTGAAGATTAAGAACTACAGCTGGAACTAGGCGAAATAATGGCTAAAAACATAGCAAAAACAGCAAAAAGACAACTCGGAGGTCGACATCTGCTATTTGGAGAATATTTGCGGAGCTGGACAAACCTAAGCGTACACTATCGAAGATAAACTTGACATCAATGCAGGTAAGCATGTTTTAGCTATGTTTTTAAGCTAAGAATTATTTTGAATGAACAATAAAGCAATTAATGAATGGTAGAGCATCTGTACTAGTAACTTGGATGGAGAACCCTGACATTCTACCACT